TGTTTATCGGAAAGACCATAAAATACCTTTAATTTGCCGTATAATTTTATATAGTTAGGTTTAAGTACAACTGCCAGCAGTGCAATAAAACAACAGTATTAATTATGAAATTTATGATGAAACAAAAACACCTTTTTATTAAGCTTGTAAAAACAATTTTACAAGCTTAATAAAAAGGTGTTTTTGTTTCATCATAAATTTCATAATTAATAAGAGCTTGTGTATATCGTTTCCCTCCTTCGAAAAAACAAAAAAAAACAGTATTAATTTTATATGTTCTCTGCAAAAGGTGTTCAGCCCCTTTTATTTGGCAACACAGAAAGAAGAATTGTACGTAGTGAGGGTTATAATCCCTAAGCGCGGCCGAAGGCCACCTAGGCAAAAAGGTGTTCTCTGCAAAAGGTGTTCTGCCCCTTTTCTTTGGTAACATAGACAGGAGAATTCTACGTTGTGAGGGCTATAATCCCTAAGCGCGGCCAAAGGCCGCCTACGCAGAAAGGTGTTCTCTGCAAAAGGTGTTCTGCCCCTTTTCTTTGGTAACATAGACAGGAGAATTCTACGTTGTGAGGGCTATAATCCCTAAGCGCGGCCAAAGGCCGCCTACGCAGAAAGGTGTTCTCTGCAAAAGGTGTTCTGCCCCTTTTCTTTGGAAACACAGAAAGGAGAATTCTACGTTGTGAGGGTCATAATCCCTAAGCACGGCCGAAGGCCGCCTACGCAGAAAGGAATTCTACGCAAAAATACAGCGGATAGCGTAGCTTTCGGCGCTTTTCCTTTTTCATATAAAACTATATTTTTATATATATTCAGTCAAATATGATGTCCACAAGAATTTTTTGCTAGAAGTCATATATCAAATTAACGGTATTTTTGTGCTCTTTCTGATAAACATATCTGTTAATATAGTTAATTACATATTTTTTAAAGAAAAACATACATTAAAAAAAATTTGCCATAATTTAGCAATGTATATACACTATATACATAAATATATATATATCGATATATACATATCGATGAAAGGCCCTTCAAAAACCTTTCCAACTGTGTCCATATTTCGAAAATCGGTTGAATAGTTTTCGAAATATAAGCTTTTGAAAATGCTGAAAATTCCACGTTTAGCCCCCTATCGACGCCCCTGTCAATTTGCACAAAAAAAAAAATATGCCGTTAAAATCCGAAAAAAAGGGCGGCAAACGCCCACTTTTTTTCTCTAGCTCAAAGGTCAGTATTCTTTATTTTTTATTTTTGGATATGTACACACTACTCCCGTAGCGTCTTAATTGGCAGGACGTGGATGGAGTCCCTAAACCGCCAGGTTCTCCTTAAATGTTATGTTAGATTAGAACAACTTATACTAAATCTCAGCCGATAGTATTGACAGCAACAATGAACACGCTCATTGGTTCTCCGCAAACGGCAACGACGAGGTTTCTGTTTGTCAATCTGTGGCGTAGCCAGAACTCAAGATGAGGTATCAATTATAATTCTAAACAAAAACAAAAACCTTTCGAGCTCTTGTACAAATGAAATTCGACAAATACTGAGACGCAGTGAACTGGTAATAATTTAACAATGACTTTAAACTAAAATTGTATATCTATTATTATAATTTCCTTATGTATCTTAACTTGTCAAAACAGACATTCTGTTGATAGTCGTTTTCAATATATTATTATTTTTATTTTTTTTCCTTTTTTTTAACAAGGACAGTTAACTGTAATAATGCCCATTTGGGTCACATTTTTACACAAAACATTTGTAATTGTAATTTTCTAATTTTTTATTTTTATTTTCTCCTTTTTTAACTGTATGTATGTTATTATTATTATTTTTCTTTTTTTCCCCCCTTTTTTTTCCTCCCGCATCTTTATTTAATTTGTTTTTATTTTTTTTTTATAACAACACTAACTTATCTGTGTCCTTGAGGAACTTAATAAGCTGACTATAATACTTCAAATTTTTAGACTTCAACAACTCGACTAAACCCCTAAATTTAGTAAAAATTTCAAAATCATTCCTCACAGACTCAAGTGCCCGGCATTCAAAAATTATATGTTCAGCTGTGTCAGGGACATTACACGTTGAGCAGTAACCCGAGCGCCAAGGATTGAATTTGCTAAGATAGTAATTGCAATATGTGTGCCCTACCATAAGGCGATTAATAAGCTTAATCTCCATGCAATTCATATCTACTTTACTGTCTTTAAACCACGGTTTCCTTATGATGTCAGGAGAGTATTCAGCAGACTTCCGACCAACCGTGCAATTGAGCTCTTTAAATTCTACATCCCATTCTCCCCATATAACATTCTGAAGCCTCAATAGAGCTTCATATGGGGTTAGACCAATCGATATGCCTTGACCCACAGAGGCAGCCGTTTTGGCAGCCAGGTCAGCCTTCTCATTCAACTGAATACCCACATGTCCCGGAACCCATTTAAATCGAACCTCCCTTAACGTCTCCCGCTGTCCATACAACATATTATGTATTTCCGATACAATAAAATTATTTGTGACTTTCTTGTCCAATACTCCCAGGGCCGATAAACTATCCGAGAATATTGCTGCTTTGGTTTCACAATCATAACCACCACCTGTCTAATTGCAACAAGCTCTCCAGTAATCGATGCATACTTTTCATCCCACCTATACAGAAAGGAAACATTTCTATACAGATCATAAACTCCACACCCAACACTATCGCTGTCGCACGAAGCATCCGTAGAGAAAACATGAAAACCCTCATCAATCACGGTGAAGCGAACAAAGGTGGCGCCGTCAGTGGTACCGCTACTTTGGTTTTGCCGATTTTGACAGTTGTGGTAACTTGTAAATAAACCTTTGTTTACAAATCAGCGAAAGAGAAATTTGAATTATAAGTGAAAAATCAGTTTAAATCGTGTTAATTTGCAATTTGTGAGTGATTTTTGAGTTGAAGACTGCGTAAAAACTAATACAATGAAGTGCTGTGTGTTAAATTGCGACAACCGTCAAGATGCAAGAAGCGTAGATGCAAGTGTAGCGCTGGGACGAATCGCTGCATTTTGTGTACATAGGGCACGGCAAAGCCGTTCCCGAAATGTTTCTCTATTATTATATTAACAGCATTTCCTCACAATGATTTTGTTTCTGCTCCACGCAGCCTCCATTAGCAAGTTAACTAATCAGTCCCGCAGAGATGCTGCTGCAGTTTTCTGCAGCAGCCTTAATTGCAAAGCAATGGAGTGCACTAAAACGTTTGCTGAAGCAGCCTCAATTGCAAAGCAATGGAGTGCACTACAATGTTCACTGTTCTTTAATAGATTAGGTGAAAAATGCAATAATTTCGCATTTGGCAAAATTAAAAATGTTTTTCGCAGTAAAGTGAACTGCTTTGGCTGTTTCAACTCGTTCTTCTTTTCGCTCTATTCTTTGTTTACTTGTGGTACACAAATGTCAACGCCCAGGACGGCGCAATCTTGTATTCTATCATTCTTGCTCATCAATCAGTAAACTCTTCATTTCGTTGTACATTGCAATAAGCTGACAACTAGTGTAATTCCGTTTAGATCAGGCAAAACCAGACTTCTGAACAGTCAGGCAGGGATGTGTCTTAAAATTTACATTTGTATTAATTCTATCAAAAATTTCATGGGCGCGTATTCATAGTCCAGCAAGTAGGTCGAAACTAACAAAGTTGCTACTTAAATTTAAGTACCAACTAAAAATTTACTTCTATTCATAGTCGCATTTCAGACTTCTACTAAGTAGTTTCGACTTAGTTTACGATACACGGTGCAGCGAACAAAGGTGGCGCCGTCAGTGGTACCGCTACTTTGGATTTGCCGATTTTGACAGTTGTGGTAACTAGTAAATAAACCTTTGTTTACAAATCAGCTAAAGAGAATTTAATTATAAGTGAAAAATCAGTTTAAATTGTGTTAATTTGCAATTTGCGAGTAATTTTTTAGTTGAAGACTGCTTAAAAACTAATTCAATGAAGTGCTGTGTGTTATATTGCGACAGCCGTCAAGATGCAAGAAGCGTAGATGCAAGTGTAGCGCTGGGACGAATCGCTGCATTTTGTGTACATAGGGCACGGCAAAGCCGTTCCCGAAATGTTTCTCTATTATTATATTAACAGCATTTCCTCACAATGATTTTGTTTCTGCTCCACGCAGCCTCCATTAGCAAGTTAACTAATCAGTCCCGCAGAGATGCTGCTGTAGTTTTCTGCAGCAGCCTTAATTGCAAAGCAATGGAGTGCACTAAAACGTTTGCTGAAGCAGCCTCAATTGCAAAGCAATGGAGTGCACTAAAATGTTCACTATTCTCTAATAGATTAGGTGAAAAATGCAATATTTTCACATTTAGCAAAATTTAAACACGTTTTTTGCTGTAAAGTGAACTGCTTTGGCAGTTTCAACTCGTTGTTCTTTTCGCTCTATTCTTTGTTTACTTGTGGTACACAAATGTCAACGCCCAGGACGGCGCAATCTGGTATTCTATCATTCTTGTTTACGATATAGCAAAACGAGTGGGAAAATGTATCGATTTTTCTTTACCATATTTTGGAAAAATTACATTTTTATTAAATAATGTCAAGTTTGATCATCCGTTTATGTAATTTTTATTTTCATTGCATGATTATGCAAAAGAATAAAGTATCATTTTCTTGTTAATTGTGTGAAATAGCCAAAACAACCGCAGTGATGTGAAGTCGATGTTTATCGAAAGCACGCTGTGAAACATACAAATAGTAGATATCTAACTGTTATGCCCAAACTTACTTTAAAAGAACTAGCGTGAAACTGACTTATTATTTGAGAATTTATATAAATTATTCCAATTATAAAATTGTGATGTAGCTTTATTCGAATTGTAATACGCATTTAATTTCATCTTCCGATTAAAATGGATCGATCTTTGTAAATTTTCATGGGAGATTATTCAATATTATCAAAATCACCCTCTACCAACTTATTTTTTACATATTTCGTCTGTTTTCCCTTAATTTGATAAAATACTTTCTTAGTTACGACTTAGTTGCAGCTGCAGCAGAAACTAAATTTTAAGTTGGTACTTAGCCAGAAAAGTCGAAACTAAGGCGACTATGAATAGCTTTAGTTGTGACTTAGAATAGTTTCGACTTAGTTGAGTACTAAATATGACTATGAATATGCGCCAATCATTTGTGCTTCAGTCGACCACATCTCTCGTTACTTACTTTGACAGTTCATCTTTGCAAGTGGGCATAGACAGTTGCTTTTATCCACTTTTTTGNACAAGGGAGCCAGTTCACCAGCAAGTGCAAACCTGGAGTGGATTGGAGCACTGGGCGGCACACCAATACACCTTCTCAAGGTGTCGTTAACAACGCCCTCACAAATGCTTTGTAAATGTTTAACGAAACCTTAGGTGCCAGACCAGCCTTTATAGAGGTAAGGCGCTTTATTAAGTTAGTAGCCGCAACAATTTCCTTCCTGACTTTTACAACGTGGTCTCTCAGTGCACCCGAAGCACATACAATCCTACCAAGAAATTTCAGTTGTTTAATTATTATGAGAGGACATGCAGAATATGTGCAAATGGCAGCAGGACTGTGTACTCCGGGGTTACCAATCTAAAGCCCACCCAAACAAATATGACGGGCAAAATCATGGATCTGTTATTAAGTTAAGTTATTAAGTAGATGTTTATTTACTAAATAGAATAACAAAAGAATTTTCCTAGCGGTACTTATTTTTATAAACAAAATAGTTTCGTTTCACAACTTAAGGCCTGTATGCAGTTCTCAAGAAAAGCTAAAATTCCATACAAAATGACGTACAAGAAATGGCTAAGAAATTTTCTTAAGTCAAATTTCCTTCAGGCAGTACGCAGTTCTTAAGAAATTTGCTACGCTTTTTACTACGGTTTTCTAAAGTTTTTTGTGAAAAAAGAGCACAAGGCAACCCAGCTTTGCAACAGAAATATATGCCCGTTCCATTATTTCTTGAGGAAAGAGTGAGGCAACAGGCTGTGAAGTATCGAAAATGTCAAAATTCCTTGGACACACACACGAAATAATGGCAAATTTTTCTTGACGGATTTCTTGAGAGCTGCATACCAGCCTTTACGGAAAAACTCTCCAAGGCAAATTTGCTTTCGAAGGGAGTAAATCCAAAGTAAACGCTTTCGGGTAAAAACTGGTAATTCTGTCAAGTACATCGTAGATCATGAACGAATCTTATATTCAGCTGCGTTCATTATGACATGGGAAGCTAGATTTCTTTAAATATACCCGATTTACATGATTCAAGTACTTCAAGGCTATGTCCAACCACGAAAAAAGTGGCCCGTCCATCGGGCCGTCACTTTGGTTTTGCAGATTTTCACAATTCCCAAGTGAAAGTGAATGTACGCAAAACTTAAAATGCACTGAAATTCCCTAATATTGTCACTCAAGTTACCGCTTTTTAACATTTGTTCTATTTATTCTAACTAAAATACATATAGTTTTTTAGTTTAGTAAAATTAAACCACGTTTCTTGTTGAAAAGTTTAATATTAAGAAAATCAGATTTTAGTTTTTTTATTCTCCTACATTTTTTGATTTATAGGCTGTTTTTGCTTAAGGCCTGTATGCTGTTCTCAAGAAACGCTAAAATTCTATACAAAATGACGTACAAGAAATGGCTAAGAAATTTCCTTGAGTCAAATTTCCTTCAGACAGTACGCAGTTCTTAAGAAATTTGCTACGCTTTTTACTACGGTTTTCAAAAGTTTTTTGTGAAAAAAGAGCACAAGGCAACCCAGGTTTGCAACAGAAATATATGCCCGTTCCATTATTTCTTGAGGAAAGAGTGAGGCAACAGGCTGTGAAGTATCAAAAATGTCAAAATTCCTTGGATACACACACGAAATAATGGCAAATTTTTCTTGACCGATTTCTTGGGAGCTGCATACCAGCCTTTACGCGTAAAAGCACATTTAGCGCATTTAGCTCTAAATGCTACTCTAAGGGCCGGTTACTCAATGTCTGGTTAACACTAATCTCCGTTTATACATAGTTATCGACGTTACCGACTCCCTGTTGTATGCACGGAGTCGAAGACTTCGATAATGATGTTTAACCGCAGATTAGTGTTAACCGGACATTGAGTAACCGGCCCTAATTGTACATTAAGGGCCGGTTTCTCCATCTCTGGTTAACACTAACTCCCCGGTTAAATATTGTTATCGACGTTCTAACTCCATGCATATAACAGGGAGTCGATAAGGTCGGTAACGATGTTTACCGGGGGATTAGTGTTAACCGGAGATAGAGAAACCGGCCCTAAGGGCCGGTTGTTCAATGTCTGTTTATCACTACCACTACACTATCGACGATTTCGACATCATGCATGTAACATGTGATCGATAAAACAGTAGTTGTGCTTAACCGGAGCTTCTACCACCGATTTGCGCTAATCAGACATTGAACAACCGGCCCTTATCCATAAAAAATTCGTCACCTAAATGCAACTCCATTTTTGCATCAAGAATCTAAATGCTAAAAGCAACCCTGTGATCTTCCAAAACTTCCACGATTCGAACATGGTTTAAAGAGAAAAAGTGGCAACATTGCTTTTTCGAGTATACATTTGCTAGCTGCGTTTCAGTGATCGCCGATCGAGCTTTCTTTTATTAACCGACTTCCAAAAAAGGAGGAGGTTATCAGTTCGTCGGAATATTTTTTTTTTTTTTTTTTATGTATGTTGCCGCATAACTTTGGACCACGTCAACCGATTTCGATAATTCTTTTTGCATCGGAAAGGTAGTGTCTCATACTAATCTGGTCCCATACTAATCTGGTTAAGATCCGATCAGCGGATCATGAGATATATATATATATATATACTTTTTATATGGGAGTTGAAGTCGGTTTTTTTTTTGCTAAAAATTACTAGTTTTGCATTACATATTCGCACAAACTTACCTTAAAAGAACTAGCGTGAAACTGACTTATTATTTGAGAATTTATATAAATTATTCCAATTATAAAATTGTGATGTAGCTTTATTTGAATTGTAATACGCATTTAATTTCATCTTCCGATTAAAATGGATCGATCTTTGTAAATTTTAATTGGAGATTATTNTCTTCCGATTAAAATGGATCGATCTTTGTAAATTTTCATGGGAGATTATTCAATATTATCAAAATCACCCTCTACCAACTTATTTTTTACATATTTCGTCTGTTTTCCCTTAATTTGACAAAATACTTTCTTAGTTACGACTTAGTTGCAGCTGCAGCCGAAACTAAATTTTAAGTTGGTACTTAGCCAGAAAAGTCGAAATTAAGGCGACTTTGAATAGCTTTAGTTGTGACTTAGAATAGTTTCGACTTAGTTGAGTACTAAATATGACTATGAATATGCGCCATGGTATTTATAGTACATAGCGCTATAGCTGGTATCTATTTGTGGTGTGGTTATAAGCATTTCTCTAAAATGTGCATTACTAAACCACTGTTTTACTAGTTCTTTCACAGTTAACCATCTCGCCCTAACCAAGGGAGGCAGTTCACCAGCAAGTGCAAACCTGGAGTGGATTGGAGCACTGGGCGGCACACCAATACACCTTCTCAAGGTTTCGTTAACAACGCAAGATAATTTCTTATTATAACCAAAAGGAGCATTAGCCCAAGTTGTGCAGCCATACTCCGCCTTAGCCCTCACAAATGCTTTGTAAATGTTTAACGAAACCTTAGGTGCCAGACCAGCCTTTATAGAGGTAAGGCGCTTTATTAGGTTAGTAGCCGGAACAATTTCCTTCCTGACTTTTACAACGTGGTCTCTCAGTGCACCCGAAGCACATACAATCCTACCAAGAAATTTCAGCTGTCTCACCTGATCAATATTACCACTATCTAGTCTTAAGGAAAATGAGTTTCTACAACCCCTATCCATGTACATAAACTTTGTTTTTACAATGTTAATTTTTAGGCAAAGACCAACACATGCATTATAGAACTCTACAAGCTTCTCTTGTAAATTTTTAAGTGCACCTGCAGTGGTTCTGCCTGTTGAAACAAGCAGAAAGTCATCTGAAAATTGAAAGATGTGAGTGCTTCCATCTTCAAAACAGTGGAGACCAGCTGTATACGCATTGGAAAGGACCGGAGATAGGCAGCTCCCCTGAGGTAACCCATTCTCCACCACAAGTTCACTATTCCTCAAAATCAGAGTCCGCCTATGTAGAAAGTTGTAGATCCAACTATAGATTTTTTGATGTACACCATATTCCTTAAGCAATTGGACCAACTTGACAATGTCCACGCAATTAAACGCATTCGAGAGATCCAGAGCACAGACAAAAACCTTCTTTTTCTTAAACTTTTCACTACCAATGACCTGCAAACATTCGGTTAAACACATCGCCGTTGACTTATTCTTTCTATACGCGAAACACCTAGAAGGCAACTTATTATCTGATTCCAGACATTCAGTAAGCAACTCCTTGACCGCCATGTTAATGCTTTTTACCATTACCGAAATTAAGGAAATGGGTCTGAAATTTTCAATCTCATCTACACTGGCATTGCCCTTCGGAATCGTAACTATCCTTATTCTACGCCACGAGTCATCAATTTGGCTCTCATTAAAATGCCACTGTAACAACCGAACCACAGAAGCCCATGTTCCCTCAGGAACCGCTCTCAGCATTCTGTACGTGATTTTATCGTCTCCACCGGCTGACGACTTTTTCTTAGCGATAGAAACCGAAAGCTGTGAAAAAATCCTGCTACAGTCCAAAGCTTGCACCCCAGACTCAGATTGTCGACTGTCCATCATGACATCAAGTGATGGGGAGTTAACATTTACTATCTGATTATTAAGAAAATTTAAGTAAGCTGCATCCTCCACTGAAGGCCACTGCGAAACCGAATTTCTGTTCATATTCTTTACATTGTTAATGAAGAACCAGGCCCTTCTCGTGTTCAGCTCAACAGCCTCAAGGAAGTTTGCTTTCTACGCCTCCTTGACCAGTACTTTCCAATTCTCTAACAACCTGCACGCCTCCTCTGTGTCTTCGGTCCTGTTAGTCTTCCTTGCCTTACACCGCGCTGCATTAAGAAGTCTATATTCTTTTGCCAGTGAATCATTCCACCAAGCTTTGGGAGAGGGCTTAAACTTATTTAAGTCAATTGTAGCCTTATGCCTTGCTTTAGCCAAGGACTCAGTCAACTCCTGAATGCTAGTAACACCATCAATCTTCCCTAGTTCCCTATTCAACAAATTTTTAGATACAAAAAGAAAAGGCTGCTTTGAACTACCACAATGGGACAGTGATGGCTTCCACCAACATACATCGACTTGCACATCCACTCAACACCAGTCACAATATTAGTAAAAGTAAGATCAAGGACACTGCTATGTCCACCACCAGTTAATACTGAGTGCACAAAGTACGTCTTGGACCCATTGTTCAAACAACGCAATTGAGAACACACAAGAAGATCACACAACACTCTCCCCTTTGGAAAGTCCACAGTATCACCCCACCTGACCATTCTAGCATTAAAGTCTTCCAACAAGAGAACATTTTTCTGCCCATTCAAGAACACAAATAACTTTGAAATTTCTGATTCAAAAGATGCAGCCGTGATATTCGGTGGAAAATATACGCAACAAGTTGTCAGATTGCATGTTAGGTTCAATGTTTTCGCAATTAATAAATCATACTGAGTTGGATACTTAACCTTTCTAAACTTAATATCATTTCTGAAACCAATCGCAACACCCCCATACCCATCAGGCCTGGTCTTCTTCAAAAGTTTGTAGTTCACCAGCTTGTGGTCCTCCTTACTGTCATCATGCGAGAAAATCCCTTGTAGTGCAACTATGTCTATCCGATTTTGTATAATGAAACTATCTATATAACTCTTATTTGTTTTAAGACTTTGGCAGTTATATTGCAGAACTTTTACCATAATTACTGTTACTGTTTCTCACCCTGTCCACCCTCTCATCAATGGCCTCACACTCTCCATCATTATACTTTAATGCAGCAATAACCGAGATGAGCGGATCATCTTTGGCAATAAAAAATCTATTGCATAATGCATTTATTATCTTGTCAATCTCCGACACTTTCGACCAACCAGTTTGCTACCACACAGGAATAATGGGAGGTTTTACTTTTGCTGCTTTGAGAGTCAAGCCTTTCTCCATTTGCACAGATTCTTTAACCACTGTATTATATCTTTTCCTGACTAAACGCCTATTAACCTCACTATCCTCATTAGCAACATTTGACGCACCCTTGCCTACAGCAGGGAAAACCTCATCAAAGTCAGCTAACGCATCGAACCGATTCACAGAACTGAACTGTGAGTACGACTCATATACCTCCTTCTTAGTCAGTTTTTTAATCGTCATAACTTCAATAATCTCTTTCTCTTTTTGCCAACTAGGACATACACTGCTGTTCATCGAGACATGTCTGGGGTCACCACACAATATGCAATTTTTATTAGCACAATTTTCATTACATTTCCCCTCAGTCCCACACATAATGCACCGAGTTTTGGACCTACACCCAAGTCGCGTATGACCCAACCGGCCACAATTGTAACACTGCTTTACAGCAGGGAAATAACGCAATACTCTACAATTAGCGAAGTAGATTTGCACACTATCGGGCAACTGATTACCTTCAAAACTTAGTTTCACCGTTTGAGTGGGTAAAAATTTGTTCCTGTCCTCTCTGTCCCGTCTCTTTAGCCTGTACACTGCGGTCACTTTAACGTCTGATTTGATGCTTTCCAAAATCTCCACATCAGTCATGTCCTCCAATATATACCGGACAACTCCACAAGTTTCAACAGAGGACCTTGGGATAAAGGCCCTTATGTTGACCTTAATAAGATTTTCATTAAATAAACAGTCATTTGCAGCCTTCACAGATAGAAAACTATCTTATACAGCGTCCTACCCACTGCTCGTACCTCATCTACCCCCTCTATACCAAAGTGTTTGATTTTGTTCCATAAGAACACGCCATTCTTCATGTTTTTATTCGCGAACAAGTTCGATTTCGATGTGTCTAAAAGGACTGCAAACACACCCTTGTAATCAGCTGGAAACACAATTCCCACATTGCCACCAATTGCATTAGGAACACCAGTACCCAAACTACTACTACTCTGTACATAATTTTCCATACCGAAGCCTGCAATATTTGAGGTTATGTTGCCATAAAAACCGCCATCAGCGACGCCCGACACTCCCGCCATAACTGCCGAAGCCACATTAGCTCGTTAATCATTGCTGCCAACCTCACTCTCAACCACGCTATTTGAGGTTAAGTTAATCTGAGTTTTACTAATCGTACCACCAATTTGCACAAAATTAAGGTAACTTGCAGCTCCCTGCAAGAGATTGTCTTTAGTTTCAGTGTGTGATCCACACGAAGTATTTTCCTTCAACGTAAGAGCCTCTCGCCCAGAGGTACCCTTTGTGACCAATAAACCTTGCAATTCGGGCATTTTCCTAACCCCTTCTTCACACATCCTCGATTTTTTATTCTTTCTCTGCCTCCTCCTTTTTAGATTTTGTCGGCCCTCGAAAGACGCATTTGAGTCGCCAAAGCTATCCTCTGTGCCACCCGGGTCACCGCTCAACTCAGACGCCAAAGCGTCCCCAATTTTCTAAATTCACACCAATAGGGAAAAAATGCCAAGCACTTACCACCCAAAAGGTCCAAGAACAGTAGTCACAAGATGCGAGACGAACCAAATAAATTCGTTTAATCCTTAGTTTAGTTTATTAAAAGAAATTGCCTGCAACTTAAATTAAACAATAAGTTAAATCAAAATTCTATGAAAGCTCGAAAGGCACGCTAGGAAATTAAAATGGCTGCAAACACAGAGATCGCACTTCCACCTTCCTTGAATATTTAACGCAGAATGTCAGTATTCTTTAGGTGTTCCAGTTAGACTGCTGAAAAATTCGAATTCTTTTCTTTTCTCCGCCGTCATCATTGTGGAAGAATACAAGTGAGATATCTTAGGGTTGACAGATAGTTGACAGGGTGTTCAATATGGCGATGACAGTGTGAACAATATGGCAGCCAATATGGCATACAACACCGAATGGCCCGAAGTAGCCAAACTACGACCCGAATGAAACGCTTCGTGAAAATCCAGGGTTGCGAAGTGGTATTTTGTTGGAAAATATAAAAGCCAGGATTTTGTGCAGCGCCGAATTTTAACAAAAGAGGGTTTTGTGTTCTCAAGATGAACAGAAAAGGGTTGCTGCGCTGTTTCGTTTTAAGCTTATTTTAATCTTAAGGTATCTAATTAAATATTAAAAGGAGACAAAAATTAAAGCAAAAATTTAAAATATATGTACATATCTGAAAATTTTAAATAAAATATATATTTTCACGAGAGACAAATTAAATAAAATGGGTTAACTTTAGGGGAAATATACTTATCAGATTGGGTCAGATAGCGCTTTTACGTTATAAATAAAAATAATTCCTACTTAAATTTTATATAATTTTGGTAACGTATTTCTAAGCTGACCCTGAGATCTGTGAAATAATACATATTTATGTGCATATATTGTGTTGATTATGCTCTAAATCGCTAAATAATTCTTGCAGCAATCAGCACCATTGGAAAGTGAAGTGACAATAGGCTGGTTTTCTTTATACAGCCCGTTTTAAATTCGTATTATTGTTATAATAAATTACAATTATTGTTTGTTTCCATTTCGGTCAACCGCGCAAATTATTTATTAAAAAAATGTCGTTTAAAAATAGCAATTTTGTTTACTTTTGAATAAGACTTTATCGAGTGCGCTATAAAGACAGGGGGATAAATGCTGTAAAGAAATATATGTTGAGTCCAATCGGTTTTTTGCTAATCCGGTTTTTGTGTAGGTATAAACAAGGTATATTAAAAAAATAAATCTCCATGAAAAAATATCGTTATTTTCGTATTTAAATGTAAATTAATCGGAATTTTATGGGGGGTTATAAAAACTCGTTTTAATTGAAACTTTGTTTTTTTCGGCTATATTTGTTATTATTTATTGGCCCAGATGCAAATATTGAATGAACTAACATATTTTAAATATTTACGGAACTACCATTTGTATGCAACCCTGCCTATCCTGTATTCAAGTAGATGTAATTCGAAAAATTTAAACGGATTTCTTTAAATCAACCTGAGCTGCGGACATATTGCGAATTCATTTTAAAACATTAACCACTACATTATATTAGTATTAAATACTTTCAATTAAGAAACAATTCTTACTAGAAAATAAATACAATTCTTACTAGAAAAGAAATTTTAGGCAGATTGTTATTGACAATTTTTACATAATTTACGATTGCAATCAATTTCTTTCAAAACTATAATCTAAATGATTGCAAGTTGTATTTTTTACGATCAAAACAGATTCCAATATTAGGTATATTATGCAAATGCAATCCAATTTGATTTGAGTTATTCAGTTTTAGATACATTTATATTTCTGTGTTCGTATGGAATAGTAGTTTATGTCGGGAAGCTGGCTTTAGTATAATCCGGCATTCCCTTTATTATTTACAACACATGGAATTTTTTGATGACCCTTAGCAAGAATATGGACGTGCTAGTATCAGAACTATTTCTTGTACGTTTATTTATCCAAAATTTCTTCAACGGCTCGGCGACAGTGAGGGTATGCTGCGAATGCTGCATTATACTAAAACCAGCCTTTCGACATAAGCTACTATTCCATACGAGTGGAGCACGTGCGAAATGCGGATTTTCCCAGTTGCAGTACAGCAGTAACTCGACACCTTCCTCACCAACCGCTCTGTCCTCTATGAGCTTCTTAATGTAACTGCAAATAAAAGATGAAAATTT